AACTTTGTTCCAGCGACCATCTCCGTATCACAATTCGCATAGCGCGGCCCGCGCAAGTTCCCTCTGACGCCGATCCCTCCTTGGCTACTACCTCCTCGCTCTCGACTGGCCGTCATTCTTGACGTCTGTTAACCATTACACATTATTTGCTTTCTTCCACCAAGATCGACAGCAGGCCTCCGTTTTGCACTGTACTTTATGCTCTCACGCAATATACTGGCTTAGACAATCGCTTCTTCGGGTCATAGAGATTTGCGACAACTTGTTCCCTTTGACATAAACTCGGCGCAGCAATCCTTCGACCTCCCCTGACTCTGTAATTTTCGAGCGCTCTGGAACTATACCGAAACGACTGTCGTCTTGTTTTTTTGCATCTGCGCTTGGCTTCGCAAGTTCCTGGTCTGCATGGAAACACGCCTTCATAGCTAGACTTTTGTTCTAAAGCGACCACCATGTCGTCACGTCCGTCTCTGCTGGATCTGCGATCGGATTCTTCCAACTCCAACCTTTCTACAGTCTCTAAACCCTTGCGCTCACCTCGCCTCCATGTTGCTGGCGAAGTCCCTCCTGAGCTGTCCCCCTTGGACGCTTTCGCCATGCAAAGCCGCCTGCTCGCAAGGCAATTACAAGAAAGCGCCAAAGAGGGCAACCGAATGAGTCGCCTTCCTCCTCTGACCGTTGAGAGCCCATTAATCGTTCAGGGTCGCTCTGAGTACTTTCGCTCATTGTCACAAGATTCAGGCTCTGAAGCCGGTGATCATCCCCCTTTGCGCCCTAGTTCTGGTCTCGCGGTAAGGACAGAGGTGGAGGATGCCTTTAGCGATGACGCTGAGCGCCCTGTGTCTATGCATCCACGAATGAGCCGAATACCGCCTACTCCCGATGAAGAGGTACCCGCAGTGCCTCCACGAGCTCCCTCTCGAGGACGGGTTTTGGATCACATTGATGAGACAGGCTCATTTTTCGGCGCCAGGAGGGAACGATCGCCCTCACCGTTACATAGTGATACGCAGTCACAGTTTGACAAGCGAGTTGAATCATCTCCGTCTCGGAAAGACGACGCTGCCTCGCTACTATCTGCCCGACGACCAAGCGGCTCGATCAGCGAATCAGTCACCGGTTCACCAGAAAAGCCCAAGCATTCATATGATGAACTCGGACTGGCGCCACCTCTGACCTCATTTCATCCAAGACGACGTACACCCAGCAATGTCTCATCTCCAGCATTGCCTACTGACGAGGATGGCTCGGGTGGCATGGCGGCTTCGTTTCACTCACTGCCTCCACGGAAGCTATCTTCTGCAAGTGCAATGACCTCCCCTGCGGTTGGCTCTTACCGACGATCTCCTTCCATTGGCTCCGAGTCCTCTGCGCTTCCTCGACCGTCCTTCAACTTTTCAAGACCTATGAGCAGGTCTGGCACACCTGGTATGGAGCAACCCTTGAGACAAGCTTCCTCTGATAGCCAGCCTTCGTTCATTTTGGCTGATGAGTCGGTTCATACACCAGTGAGCATGCATAGTGAGGCATTCCTTGAGCAACAGGCCGAAGACCGTGACAAGGGTGCACCATCCTACATCTATTCCAAGTTCTCACTCCCGAGAGGCAAGGCCATTCAACGCGCGGAACCAGATGAGCATAATCCACAGGCTTCCTTCCATTGGGAACAACCCATGGTGCCCCCAAGCGACGTCCACCGATTTGAGAATGCCCCTCCACCCTCTCCTCCCACCAGACCTACAAGCTCCTCCGCCAATACCGTTCCAGACGATTCCCTGGCATCGGGTAGCTCAATGCCGAAGGCATCAATCGAGTTGAGGAAGGTTCAATCTGAGACGACACCACCACCGATGCCCCAGCTATCTCCAACTGCAAGCAGACTATCTGCCGAGGAGCCGCGTGCATCAGAGGATGCGCCTAGAGGCCGAGGTCGAACGCCCGTTTCAATAGCCACCAGTGACACAGCAAGCACGATCAAACCACCTCCAACGGCTCGCTCGACAGCGCCTACAGCATCAGAAATGAGTGCAGAAGAGCACTTGGCGAAGGGTATCGCATGTCATGAAAGTGGGGATCTGAAAGAATCCACATACCACCTCAGATATGCAGCACGTCTAGGCGACCCGACCGCTATGCTTTTATATGCGCTTGCCTGCCGTCATGGATGGGGTATGCGTGCTAATCAGAAGGAGGGCGTGGAATGGCTTAGAAAAGCCGCGGAATGCGCTAGTGTCGAAATCGCGGATGATGAGAGTCATGTAAAGGAGGGTAAGCATGTTGACGTTGTGGAACGAAGAACTCGAAAAGCCCAATTTGCTCTGAGCATTTACGAATTGGGAGTAAGTCACATGAATGGCTGGGGTATTGAGCAGGACAAGTCACTGGCTCTCCGCTGCTTCGAGATCGCCGGTAGTAAGTCTCCCAGATGAACCATTAACAGCCAATTGCTAACACGGCCTTAGACTGGGGCGATGTCGATGCGCTGGCTGAAGCTGGCTTCTGCTATGCACAGGGTATTGGATGTAGGAAGAATCTGAAGAAGAGCGCCAAATTCTATCGCATGGCTGAAGCCAAGGGTATGAGCATGGTTGGGAATAGCTGGTTAGTCTCGACAACCAGGACATATAACCTGGAATACACCCTCGTACTCACTAACGTTAAACAGGATTCACAAGGCCAAATACGATGATGACGGCGAGTCAACCGCGTCCAAGAAGGACAAAAAGAAGGCCCGTAGCAAATCTCGAACCAGAACCATGTTTGGACTGAAGTGAGCTCACGAGCCGCTTTAGTGACACGCCTACTATGATAATGATGACATCTTCGACATACCCATTTTAATCGGAGTTTTTACTGGTTTTCCATTGCATTGGGGGTTTCATGGGGATTAGGGGGAATATTCTTGTGCTCCCTGTAACGTCTGCTCAGGGCTGGAACTTAGCCAGGTTAAGGAACTGGATTCAGTTCCGTGTTCAGCGTTAGATTTTAGATGAGGACTTTTAGTGGACATACCCCGATGAAAGGGTGATATGGATTCTTATACCTATTCCATGCACAGCAAAGACACTGCTACTGTTACTGTAGTACGGTGGTTGTCTATTCTATTCAACACGTTCTTGGACACGTCTTGGACACTGCATCCCATATCCAAGAGCTAGGGAAAAGCAGCAGAGGCACTCAAGTTAGACAAAAACTTGCCTTCCTTTTTGAAAATTAAATGCATTCGAAATATTGTATTGAGTTGTACTGGCATCATCAGTCACAACTCCGCCTGCCACAGCTAAAGGCCTGTTCAGTGATCCCGTATGCAGTGTACTGGGATTGCGTGTTGTTACATGCCGCCGTCTACCTCATCTAAAGGTCTGATGGGATCTCTATTTAGCTGTCAACGTCCATCTTCTCCTCCACGGGTACGTCTTCCACGCTAATATACCGCTTGATCTCGTCCCTCTTGATGATCTTTTCGTTCAGCACCGCCGTCGTGCCCTTGGGGAAACGGTAACTCTGAAGCTTAGGATCCTTCTCGTTGGGCTTGATGTAGTTTCTCTTGAGTGTTGTCTTGTCCTTGGTGATGATCGCCACGTCCACGTTTGAACCCGAGCCCAGATCGTTCCAGACACCAGCAAGAATGGCGTCGCTCGCCAGCTTCACGGCTTCCTCCTGGTTAAGATCGGGCTTCCACTGCGTCTCAAACACACTCATAGCTGCCAAGCTACCACTGCCCATGGTAACGTAGGGAAGCTTATCTGTGCTGCCGTGAGCGTGAACAGTGAAGAGGTGGGTGCCAGTAGGGTCGACGCCAGCAACGACCAGGTAGGCACCTATGTGGCCCTGGTAGCGGAAGAGGTGCTGCTTCAGGAGGGTCATGCAGGTGACAACGCGGGGCTTGCGACCTGTGGATAGGGAGTGCAGCTCGAGTTGAGAAGAGATGAGGGCGGTGGTGAACTCTGTGTCAGCGGCGGTACCGGCACCAGCGCACCAGATCTGAGGCGAGATGTAGTGAAGTTTCTCGCAGTTCTTGTCGGCGACAATGGGACCGGATGTGGCTCGAGTATCGGCAGCAATCTAATGGAAAGGTTGTCAACGTTGAGCTCTTGGTGGGATGGCGGTAGCTCCATTCAGTGACCGAAGACCGGCGCTTGAGACAGCAAGGTATCACTTACCACAACACCACCATCAAATATGCATCCAACAATAGTCGTTCCAGTGCTGGTGGCCTTGGGAAGAGGGACTCCGCGGGCGTGGAGAGCCGCATTGCGGTTGTAGTTTGAGAAGTCGAAGCCTGGCATTTTGAGCGACCTGTGATGCCCCGATTGAAAATATCAAGATAGTTGAATTACCCGAGTGTCCGTAGGATAATGCGGTATCGTGAAAAATGGTAAGATCGCTCGGGGTATCTTTTGCGATGGGGGGATGTTGCTGGTCTTTGACAATTGCTAGACGAGTTGAAGTTAACAAGGCAGAGCTGATGACGAGGCTAAAAGCTGCCTCCAACAGTTGAGCTTCACTGAGCACCTACAGCAGCATACAGCGGCGCGCTCTGATTGGTCAAACCTGATAGGCACGACAGGCAGACCACGCCTACCTACTAAGTAGGTGAGCTGGAGCAGTACCTACCTAGGTACTTACCTTACCTAACTTGGTAGTAACCAGTGGCTCAAACTTTAACACGTGAGGAGGAGTCTGGCAAGAGCATATCACAGTCAATGAGCTGTTTGGGCAGTTCCGGCTTGATATGAAGCTTCGTATCTAATCTAAGTTCAAAACATTCCCAGCTCTTAGAGGTGTCATCTACGGAGTAAAATCATTCGCAACTGAATTTCTAAGTCTCCTGCGCCTCTAGGTGCATCAATCAGGCCAATCACTATCTGGCAAAGCACGTCCCCCAGCCTACCACTGCCTGGGCCAAAGCTCCCCCCAGTCGCCCCAGTCCACTCCTATGCTGAAGGCAAATTTATGAACTTCAGGTCCTCTCCAAGGCCGGCTACTCTGCTACAGTCATGGCTTTCAGCTTTGGCAATTCAGGAAACACTATGCTCGGGAGTACGGCAGGAGCAGGAGGACTGACTACAGGCCCTGATCTGGAGACGATTCAGACAGAGGTGGGTGCGCTATTCTTCTAAATTGATGGTTTCATTTCATGGTCTTGTTTGTTTTGTTGACTTCATGGACGTGATGCTAACCGCTCCCAATCTGTACAGGATCTCGGTTTTCTCTCTATCGCTGGCGACGCCAAGGTTCGCCTTACATCCGCGTGGCCATCTCTTCCATCTTCTACCGCGTCGCTTCTCAGCGTCGCTTCGCGCAAAGGTCTTGTCGCTGCTGCTGGACCCGACCAAGTTGTCATCGCCACAACCGAATCGGTGCGAAAAGCCTTCGAAAAGCCCAAAGATGGCGACTCAGATATTCGCGAGTTCGAGCCTCAGCTCAAGATCCCTATGCCGATGCGAGTTTCGCAATTATCATTTACTGCGGATGAAAACTATTTAATCCTTTCCGCCGAATCTGGCGGCGGCTTGGCTGTCTATGAGGTCCAGAGTCTATTATCGGGATCAACAAACTCGGCTTTCGAGCTGTCAACAAACGGTGAAACCTTGAGAGCTATGATCCCGAACCCTACATCTGAGAAGGCGGAGCTTTGCGCTATCGTTACGAATAACGGGAATCTTCACATGGCAAACCTGAAAGAACGACAAATTAGCAGCGTTCTTAAAAACCAAGTCAGCTGTGTCAGCTGGAGCTCCAAAGGCAAGCAGCTATGCGCCGGTCTGGGTGATGGCACAATTTTCCAGATGACCCCAGAAGGAGAAGGGAAAGGAGAAATACCTAAGCCGCCGAGCGTAGGTGACTTTCATGGTATGTAGCTGCAAGCTTTCACTTAATGTCAAGATTGGCTAAAATTATCTCAGTATCATCTCTTACCTGGCTCGAGAACCACCTGTTCTTGTCTATCCATACTTCAAATAGCGAATCGCCGCCGACCTCTATCTACCATGTCATTACGCGCCAACCACCATCATCTTTCAGCTTTCAGAAGCTTACCGACCCTGTCGAGCCGTTTGGATCAGACAAAACACCACATCACTCGATTCTGCGACTCCGAG